TAAAATCAATACAAAATCGTAAATCTTTTATTTTTTATTTCTGATATCAATAAATTTTTCTTATACTTCAATTAGATTTTTTCAGGAAAAAAAATTGTTTTATTTCTTAGTTATTTACCATCGTTTCTATTGTCGTATTAACATATATTATTAATGGTTTATAAATTGAAGTTTGAGAATGAGATTGCTAAATGCACATTGCCAAGTGGTCACGTATCTCTTGAGATAATTGGTTGTTGGACCATTCTAGAAATCTCATGTAAACAAATTAGCAACACAAAAGACGCTGAAATTCTTATCCAAAGGTAATTCCCATCTCTCAAACTGTCCTCATGGCTGGCAAGAAAGTGTTAAATTTTTTTCTATAAAAAAATTTCAAGTTTTCTGTATGGTGATTCACTAGCTATACTAAAGGCAACAAATCAGCAACCTTCATAATCGCAGGCTCAAGTTACACTAAAAACTAATCCTTCTTCTGTTGAGCTCTGCTTGTTCTCCTTCTTGAACCTGAAAACCACGGCCATGGCTATGTTCAAGCACAAGGATTAATAAACACATAATCTGGAACACAATACAACATCACAAACCCAAGATTTGCAGGGAGATTTTATATATATACCTGATATACCCTTTCTTCCTTTAGACTTTTACTTCTATGTTTCAACTCTCCTCTGTTGGTTGTTATCCCATCTAATATCTCAGCATCATAATAGTCATCTTCAGATCCTTCATGGCGTGAGTTAGATGATTCTTTTTCCTGTTCGCGGGAGTTGTTGCCGGATGTCAGTATGGTTCCGACTCATGCATGTTTGATTTTCATATATTTGAAAAAAAAAAGTACCTTGATTAAATCGAAGCTTCACCGTGGTGTACCAGAAATCTCTTCATACTCGGCAGCGTCGAGTTCCTGAAGATGTTCAGGATGGAAAAGCTTTGGAAAGATGTGCTCTCTGATGGCGATGAGAAGGAAGAATGGCAGCGGAAATAATATTCCAGCTATGGGTATCCATGTTACCCCAAAACATATTATAAGATACCCAAATTGGATCGCTGTAAAAATCAAGATGGATTTGAAAGGCACGGACTCCATAAATGATGCATGATCACCTTCAAAAACTCTGTTCAAACATATAAAACCATAAACAAAATCAACCTTAAAATTCAATTTATATACGGGTCTATCATCTTATAAACACAGTTAAGATATTTCTAGGTTGCATTTGACTTACTAGTAGCGCCTGCTAGGGGTGACAAAAAGTAGTAACAACCTTTCCCAGAATTGGTTCCCTGGGAGGCTATCAATGGCCATGTACGCAAAGTAACCCCATAATACCGACGTAGGTACCATTTTTATTACAGGTAGAGCACACATCGAAATTCCGACGAGGAGTGACTGCAACAGGTTGCTCACTCTTTGCTCATTAACTCTAACTGTCAAATAAGGAGCAATGTCTTTCTCAGGATCAAAATTTTCTTTTGCATCGTCTGCACCATCACTTTTCATTACTGCCTCTTTCAGGTTCCTCAACTCATTATCAACTGCACGCTGCAATAAGATTCATATAATGATGTTGCACTCAATCAAATATGCCTGCTTGATGCATAATACATAGGAAATGGTATAACCAGTACAAAAACCAATAATACTTAACAGGAGAAGACCGGTCCATTTCTAAGAATATGGCTTGCATTCTCCCAAAGATCTCCGAGTTGCTTGCATGTTGCAACATGCTTTCCTTGGCACGTTTTACCATTTTTTTTCGAATCATCTGCAATAGATTGTGGATTATATAATCTAAGAATCCCTGCTAATGAAAATCATATAATGATTTTAGGGAATAGTTTCTAAAAGTACTGCACAGTACACCCCACCTGCGTCTTGAGAACTGAAAGGCTCTTGGTGTGCATAGGAGATTGTGGAAGGATCCCATTCGAAGGAGGGAGTCCCAGCAACCCACAAATCAATGTCTGAAACCATGATTGAAAGGAATTATTTAAGCCTGGAATTTGCTGGAAATATAATTTTGAAAGCATTAACTTACTAAAAGAAAAAGGAAAAGAGGATAAAGAGAGAGAGAGTATAGGTCGGAAGCGTCAATTAAAGTACCATAACTCCTAGCAATAAGACATCATAATGATAAGCAGAGGGATTTTTAAGGTTGAACTCTTTCTGCTGCGTCAACTGTGAAGCAACATTATGATCGAAGAAGTATAGACCAGCTATCATCAATGCTGGTATAATGGCAGCAAAGATGTACACTATTGGAACCTTTCCCATATCCTATAATAAGAGATTTGATAAAGTTTAAGGTTATGGATTTTAAAGACAATTCAATCGTATATGAAAAAGATTCATAACTTACCTTTATCACAGTCCAATGAGGCAATGATTCGGGTTCCCAAAGAAGTGGACAGAAAAGCCTCCTGGGAATTCCAGAGTTAACTTTGCTTGGTATCGTGTAAGACAAAGCTGTCCAACACAGAACCATTAAGGGAACTCCATATTCTGCAATAAAACTTCGAAACCAACCTGAAAAACAGTTTTTGTTTTTTAGAGAAACTACCAAATAATCAGTCTGACACAGTTAGTGTGTTGATATACCTGTTCCATAACGCCACGATCTTGCCTTCCTCGTCTTTAGAGAAGTCAAGAAAAGCCCAAATGAGAAAATGACTGCCAACAAGCCATTTGTATATAGCCAGTGGAACTGATATTTCTCCAGATTAGGATTTTCACCTTTGGGAATTTTGAACTCACCACTCCCTATGATCCAAACAGTTATCATTATACATGAGGGTCAAACCTAAGGATTCTATCATCATAAACCTCACTTTATTTGATGCCTAAGTCGTTCAATACCTTAATAGCCTCTTGAATGAAAAGAACAGTTATCAACATGCCAAAAAGCTCTCCAGCGATTCTTGTAAATCTACTGATTATGGTGCATGCATTGAATATAGCAAGAATAATGAGCAGAAAAGCTGTCCACATACAGACCCTGGGAAAGAAAAACAAAAGAAAATAAATTAAACAATCAATAACATTTCTGATGCACTAAAAAGTTTGGAAAACATTAAACAAACTCATAAAATTATAAGAAACAGAAAAGGTGGTTATATCCATTACCATGCTGCCCAAGCCAAATAGAGTTTCTTGCCCAACTCCGGCCTCTTTTTGCAGAAATTGTACAAATAAGTGTACATTATTATCGTTGGCTCTGCAACTACAAATATCAACAAAGGCTGCCCACCTAAAATGGAGTGAATGATTCCACAAATAGCTGTAGAAGCCAATGATTCCACTGGGCTGAGGGAGCCATCTAAGAAAACAAGAAACACAACCTCAACTTTTAATGCTTATTCATGAAAATACCCAGCTTTAATATTCTTTGAAATAAAATGGCTATCATTACAGTAACTTCTTCCTAGATCATATTGTCTATTAAACATTCTGACTGGAGTACCTGTGTCTCGGCTCAGTTGCTCCCCAAAGGCAATAACAGGAAGAGCAGAGGCAAAGAAGATATATGTAGTTGGAGCTAATATCCTGATCGATATATATCGAAATGTGAATCAAAATGGAATAAATGTTAATCAAAAGAACACAAAAGTGGTGCCAAAATTTGAAAACAATAACATACCGATATCCTGAGTGAAATCCATTGACCCAATCCTGCTTGTAGCAAGCACTTCTTCCCTTGAGGTCTTCGATTATCCCCCTGAATGGACTTCTTATTTTCTCCATAACTGGTTCAAAGAAGGGGAAACAAGAATTCATTAATCATATAATTAAACTACATTCTGTTAACGACAGTAGCACCTGGTCACCTGTATCCCAATATCCTCTTGATTACGTTAGACTAGACGGCGCTAGGTGTAAAATGACTCAATGAAGTTAGGCAAAACGAGTAGTAGCATTTAAGGAGAACATCATGCATGCATGCAGGGATGCATATATGTGGCTTTTGAGAAAACCAATAGAAATGCAAGAAGCGAGGGAGTTGTATGATTCAACTGCATGACCAACGAGATAAGGAACAGAAATAAAATATTGAGGAAAACATTTCTATAAAAGTTACAATAAATATACCTAAAAACTAAAATTATTAACAGCTTACAATAATTTTATTAAAATCAATGACAATTGATGACGTATTTCAAAATAATATTTCGATTTCATGCTTAATTTTCTTCATGATAATTATTAGTCGACCAATAATTTATTTTAAATAATATTTTCTGTATGGAAACTTTGTATATAAAAATAGTATAAAATCGTAACTTTTTATATTTTGTAATGTTCTGGGGTGAGTGTTCTATCGAGTCGAATCGAGTTGAGTTGAATTGAGTTAAAAAAAAATTAGTTATTCAAGTTGACAAGTTTTATTTTGTAACTCAAATTTGATTTGAAATATTTTCAAGTCGAGTCGATTTTATAAAATTATAGTCAAACCAAGTGTTCGAGTTTTTATTTGAATTTAATTGTAAATATTTATAATATTATAATATTATTTACTTTCAACTATAACCATATACAATACATATTTGTTTCACATGTGATATACATATATCATTTAGAGTCGAGGAACTCACTCAAACTTTAAAACCAATTCACCAACTGCTAAAAAATTGAGTTATTCAAATTATTATTTGAGTTGAATTTTATAACTAGACTCGAATTTAAGTTTTTTTAGTTGAGTTGAGCTTTTCGAGTTAAAATCGAGTTGAAAAGATCGATTTTCAAATCATATTGAATTTTACTCACCCATGTCTAGATTTACACACACTTTTGATATGTTCAAACATACATAGCAATGTATAAAAAAAACATTCATATCAATAACGTTTTTACTTTTTGTGTTAGATAACGGTTGTAGAAAAAAAGGTAACAAATGCAAAAAAAAAATAACATGACCATGCTTATTTATAAGGATTCCATACGCCTACTACTTGTGCTTCTTTAGAAATCCAAGGGAATTAATTAGAAATTTGCTGGAGAAATGTTGGGGCAGCAGTATCCATGGCTCTTCACCATCTTCCTGTTAGTAACAACGTTCTTCCATCCTTCTTTCGCCGATGTTGGCACCGCTGCCCATTACAGCCCCCCATATCTTCGTAAGCGATCATCACACATATGTTGAGAGTTTTGGATTTAGGGTTTAAGGTTTACATGCACATATACATGATTTTTTGTTGTCTTGGGTGCAGCCACCGCCTGCTCCGGGAACGATGACTCCCATTATCTGAAGAACAACTTATTTGCGGCGGCTGGGGATAGAATATGGGACAACGGTGCCTCATGTGGACGGCAGTTCTTGGTAAGGTGCATCAGTGCGGCTACCCCTGGAACTTGCAATCCAAGCCAAACTATACAAAATAGCATTGTTGATCGAGTGGAGACATCGGTATCTAGGCCTTCTACTAATGGTGCTACAATTATTCTGTCCACTGCTGCATTCGGCGCCATTACAAACCCCTCCGCTGATTCCGTTGACATTGAATTCCTTACTATCAATAATTGCTTTATACTTTTATGTGTCAAGGTCTGAAGTTTTGAAGATTGCCGATCGCACCTACCCACTACTTGTTTCATGGATCATTTTTGTTTTGTTTCCAGAGAGCACCATTAATCCACTAAAGTCCAAAGGTTCATTTTCGGCTTGGTTTTCACTTACTATCATTTGAATTATATCGATGGAACTAATGGTATTTATTTGACATCATTTCTCTATAATTTTTTAAAAGATTAATTTACTGCTTAGAAGGGCTTAAATAAATAATTGACAGGACCAAAACTATTATTACTCTATTTAATTAAGTGGAGGCAAGACTGATATTCTGTATGAATTTAGAAATATTTTTTAAGGTAAATACATGTGTATTAATAAAAAAATCATATGAGATGGATACAAATAAAATTTGAAGATGTGCAACTTCAATAAAATGAACAACTAACGCAAAAAAAAATCGAATTTCAATGTACACCCTAAATTATATATGAATCTGTGCTGCCTGCGCCATTAGTTGCGCTCCATACTTTAAATATTCATGATGAGTTTACGACAATTTTGAGATTTCATGTTTTTAATATTATCTCATGTAAATTCTATATATGAATTTTATTTTATTTTATTTTATTAATTTACTATTAATATTTAATTAATCCCAATATTTCCAACTTTTCTTCTATTTGTTTTTCTCGAATCTATCATTTTCGGTGCAATTAAAAGAGGTAATGTAGTGCTTAGCCGAAATAGTATTTTATCACAGTGTTAAATAGTATATATATATATATATATAACAGCCGTTTCATAATTATTATTTTAATATTTTTAAAATATTATCATAATTTATATTTGTTCAATCTAATCATTGTATTTAATTATTTGCATACATAATTTGTATTGAATTTCAAGTACATTTAATTATTTGGAACACAAAGATTGTTTGAACAATATTAGATAGGAAAAGCAATATTCTTCAAAAAGCATTAATGTGCGTTGACATATAAAATTATCTTTTGAGTAATACCGGGACGGACGTAAGATTTTTTTTTAAAAGGGGTAAATTTTAAAAAAATTAAATTAAAAAAAATTTAACGGAGAGATGAACTTTTAAAATTTTAAAGAGACAAAAATATATTTTTAACAGAAAATACAAAAAAAAAACTAAATTATATAAAAATTTAAAATTTTGCTCCAAATCCATAGTAATAATAAAAAAAGATAGGACGTGGTTTAGGTTAATTTAGGTTATGAATTGTGTCTTAATCCTACCAAAACCAATCTCCTTTCCTCTTGACCTCTTCGAAGCTTCCAAAAAGCCGTCGCTTCATCCACACCCCCTTTTTCTGATATGTCGTCAGGGTGATCAAAGAGAATTGGATTGTATGAATGTAGAACAAAACACGTTGTGAAGAGTTGACACGTGTCACCTACCTTCAGAATTAAAAATTCAAAAGTCACCGATTTCATTATTCAAAATTCTATCTAATTTGCATCTAAAATTCAACCCTCTCGTGGTCAACAGATGTTAAGAGTTGATAGCTCATGGATTTGTTTTCCTTTTAATTTAATCAAGGTACCAACAACATTTTAATATAACGTCATAGTTCATTCAAACATTTAGTTTACCAACAATCAAGGCATTTGCATAAGCACGGAATTTAAACAATGGAAGAGTAAGACTAATCACATCCAATGAATACTTGCTCATCTATATTCCATCAACCCCATTCTTCGCTTCCTGTCTTTCAGAGGTAACGGCAGTTGCCATAACCTACACAAGATACATATAATCAAGAATATCAAAGTTATATAAAATATTCATACAAGGTTTAAGTATTCAATAATTGTATTTGGCTTACTAGGTTCGACAGTTGTGATTTGACCGTTGCCGGCAAAATAGCAGCTGAGACCCTTAGTTCGATAGTAAGCATTCATCGCGAATGCCGCATGAGACCGGAGAGTGTTGGGTTCATAACATGCTCCTCCGGGCTGAATTGGTGTGCAATCGACGCCTCCTTGCCCACATGCATAATCCAGGTTTGATTGCAGCTGAGCATTGCTAACATCAACTTTCGGAACACAGAAGTTCTTGCCCGATGGTGCTGGAGTTGTCGGTGTTGGCGTCGACTTATATATCAGATATACAAATCAAACACAGCCATTAAACATCTTCCACAAGCCTATTAGAAACAATCAAGCAAAAAAAACTATGGTTAAAAATAAGCTTACCTGCCCGTTGCGTAGAACCCCGACATCATAAATAGGGGTCAAGTCGGGATTAATCATTCCCCAATACTTCTCAACAAGTGGACCCGGCTTTTGGTTCTCGTTAAACAATGCAAACATATATGTCTCGAATGTGCGGTTTGGCATCAAAGGTGTTCCTTTGCCCAAAACAATTTCCTTAACAACATGTCCATTGTAAGAAATTGCATTTTCCAAGGTGGCAAAAGGGCTGGTGGCATCACCTTGTGTTGGCCAACCAGTCTCACCGATGGCAATCTCCACATTTCCGTAGCCAAGGGCTTTCATGGCCGTATAAGTGGAGTCCATGAGAGCATCAAACATATTAGTGTATGTTTTTCGGGTATATTTGTCATAGACTCCACTGTTCGGCTTGAAAAGTGCATAGTTCAATCTTTTTGACAAGTCAGGACTGAAGTAGGGATACGGGTTGACCATGAAAGGTGACTTGGTCCGTTGGTGGAATTGGAGAATGGGAGCAAAGAAGCTTTGGTCATATCCCACCATGAAACGCATCAAACTTGGTATTGTTTCCCGTCGGAATATGTTAAGTGCATGAGCGGTCGTGACCTACTCAAATACAACACAGAAATTAGAATCATATTCATGTAAAATCAGTTATTCCTTTATACTTCTAAGCAGAGAAATCGAACGGGAAGACTGAAATTAAAAGATTTGCTTGTAGAAGCAATGTAGTGTTGAGATTTATAATCATCGATTTACAATCATCGGTTGTGTGTGTGCGCGCGCGTGTTCCCTCAAGTTTGAATAGCAAATTGGGTCAAGGCAAGTAAGGAAATTTCATTGCTCTAACATATAAATAAAGAATAAAAGTAAAGAATATTTGTTGTTCCCATCTTTTCTGAAATATTTAAGAAAAAACATTACTATCTAAGCGTGAAGCATGAAATGCAGAATATTTTCCATGCAATCTTAAAATATTATAACGGTCAAATTGGTCATCAATGATTACTTAATCTATCAGGAAATGACCAACTATATATTATACTTTAGTTCCAACATGCCCCCTAACACACAAACCGGACATATGGCCAATGGGCTTGAACATGAACTCAAGTGTAGAATAAAGGTGCGACCAAAGATGGATTAAGCTCATCGGAATAATCAATCATCGAAATTTAACGACTTTAATCTAGTTGTCATAGAGGAGAGAAGAGTAGATAATAAAAAGAAAAACAACATATGTAAAAGATACGTACTATTTCAAAATATAAATGAAGCGTTCATCTCACCTTGATTTCTGGAAGTCCAGCTTTGACCAATGCATAATGCACACTCCTCATTGCCGGCACAAGGTTATTAGTCCAATCATCATTTTTCCAGAACAAGACTTCGGTACCAACAAATACATATTTGATCTTTGTCTGAGGATGAAACGGGCTTATGTGTTGCTCAACCCATCTTCGTGCTGTGACGGTGTTGGTGAGACCAGGGATATCCCCATTGCCAATGGTGACGGAAACAGAAATACCAGTGTTTGTAAAAGCTCGTAGGACATCGGGATTAGCGTCAAACAGTTTGACGCTGTCGAAAATAGTTTGGGTTTTAAGGAAGTTTGCAACCACAGAGGGGCTAGGAAGGTTGTCTGCAGTCATGCCATAGTTCACTCCAATGCCGGTGATGGTCGTGAAGAGTTGGAGGAGGATGCCGACGAGGAGAAATATGGCAGCCATGGTTATGGAAGGTATTGAAATGAAAGATGATTGTAAAAGAGAGAGCTTATGGGAAATCGGTTAACGTTCAACAAATATATAGCTAAGGATTGACCAAGTAATAAGAAGCTAGATTCTTAGGAAGACTTGTTGGTAAGAAAAGCAGATTCTTAAGATGTTTGAAGTGATCCCCTTGCGGCACAAAGCAAGAATCTCGGTTAAGTAAAACAAATTATAGTTATCCAACTTATGTGTTAATATGCTCGACCGTCGGAATTTGATCTCAAATTGCAACCTGTTGAGAAAAGACCCTCGACTTGTAACTCCCCCGCATACTAGAAACAAATTGCAATATAGTTTAAGAATATGATAAACATAGCAACCATTCGTGTTCTAAGGGAAAGATGCATATGCAATGCCGGTGCTTTGAAATTATTCATACACGTTATGTTAGAGCACAGATCTCTCAAATAAACTTAACAACTAAACTTAATTAGAATGTCATAATCAAACTTAGGTGTGCGAACCGTATAACTAGCTCAACAGCTAAATCAACTCGTCTAAAACAAACTAGAGATCCCACGTACTCGAAGCAAGTGAAAGAAATAAAAGAAGGAATAAATCTTAGAGTTATTAGCTAAACGTAGAACAGATTAGTACTTCCCAAAACAGAAACCCAGTGAAAAGAAGAATGAAGCGAAGAAGCAGGCAGCAAATCAAGCAAACTAACAAAGGGAAAACAAATAAAGAGGAACGAAGGGATTAAACTTATTAAAATTACACTAAAATCGTATACAGTAATCACTGTGATGGAGTGAATCTAGTGTTTTTCCTTAAAAGAAAAAATGGACGAAAGCTGTGAGTAACTTACAAGAAGCAGGTGCTGCAGAAAATGGCAAAAGCAAAGTGAGAAATGGATCTGATAGCGAGAGAAGTGAAAGGAAATGGCTTAATCTTGATCTGGATGAAGAATAAGGAGGAGGAAATGGAAAGGTTACGCTTTTAATCTTCGAACAAAGTGAAGAAGAGAAGTGAGAGATAAAGGTGGTGTTTGTTTTTATTTAAAAATAAAAAAAATTTTTAATCTTGTATTAATTGAGATAAAGGTTACCTTTAATTTGAAACAACTGTATCGCTCCTTTATTCACGTTGAGAATACAACACAAAAAGAAAAAGCAAAGGCGAACTCGGGGAAGCAGTGTGTTATTGTCCGTTCTGCAAAGGGCGGTGAACTGAAACAACGCTGGATATTAGTACACTGTGCACAACTCATTTGTTCTCTTCCACTGCCCATCATAATACTGACCAAATATTTGTTTAATAGATAAAATAATCATTCTATATTTATCATACTTATGTTTTTAAATATAGATGGGTAAATTATATCATTGACCACCTAACTATTCAAATACATTCAATTAAACACCTAACTGTTAATATTTACGGATGAGGTGACGTGACAGGTAATTAAAATGATATAATTATATATTTAGTCTTTAATATTTATATTTTTATCAATTTAGTCTTAATTTTAATTTAATTTAATTAATTTAATTTAATAAATTTAATTATTTAATCGACATGTGTCACCATTTTATTGGAATTTTTTTAAATTTTAATTTATTAATATATTTTCGTCCAACCAACTTGTAACACATATCACAATCTAGTAAAAGAAAAACAAGTTTCAAAGAATTAAGGAGGGGGAATCAAACCTACAACCCGGAGGTTGGAAGGAAGCTAAACGCTCAAATGCCTTTAGTGATTTGGTTTATAAAATCACGTATAAAGCCCATATTGAAGTTACAAAGCAAAATTTATTCGTTGGTTCAAATTTTTTTTTTTTTTTTTAAATTAAATTTAATATTTTTTCTATGATTATAATTAAATGATTTTAACTTTTACATTTGAGTCGAAAAATATTTTTCAAGCGCGTTTTTTATCTCATAGTTATAAATTTATAAATCATAAAATAAGCACAACATATGATAAACAAATAAATGTTATAAATATAATTTAGACTCCAAAAAATAATATTCAAATACACAAGTTAAAAATTTTAACGTTTACTTTTGAATCAAAGAAATGGATATAAAACGTATTTTTTCCCTTTAAATATTATTGTTCGTACATTCTATTCGAATAATTTTGCATTCACCAAGATTAATAATCGAACCCTAAAATTTATGATAAATTGATATGTATTTCGTATAAAGATAAAATATTAAATTTAATATTAAAAATCTTCAATTTATTTTATTTGTAATATTGTGCTAACTTAAATTTAAAGTATATATAAAATTTATCCATATTTGAACCAATGAACAAATTTTGCTTTGTAACCTGAATATAGGTTATATACATAATTGCATAAACTAGATCACAAGGGTCTAGCTCGGCGGTAATTGACCGCTCGACTTCCTCCGGGCCCCAAGTTGCAGGTTTGATTCTCCCTATATTCTCCCCAAATACCTGGATATTTGTAATTTATTTTTTCTTTATTAAATTATCATACGTGTTATTATCTGATTGGATAAAAAATATTATATTAAATAAATTAAAATTATAAAAAAAACTCTACAATAAAACAGTAACACATGTCACCATATGATTAGAAAATTAAATTTATTGAATTAAACAAAATTATGACTTAATGAACCATCGATTTGCACCTAAAGACCTGCATTCTAGAAAAAAATAATTCCCGTTTAGTAAGTGCCTAAACAATGGTCAAAATGAAGACAAATTAATTTAAGGTCCTTGTTAGGAAATCATAGTTTTAAATGGAACGAGTCGCCGCCGCGTATGTTACAGTTGAATTGAAACTCACATCTCTCCGTACCTAAAAGTGCTATGGAACATAGAGCCACCATCTTAGTTTGCCACACTATCCAAGAAGCTTTGCAACTCCATTAAGCCCTCAGCAGAAAAGCTCCTCCGCACTCTTGCACGAGAGACGACCAAGTTCGGGGGTGGATTGGATTGAAAGCATACCACAACTACAGTCAAGTTATCCCCACTTTTCCTCTTCAAAGCTTCATTCACCAGATCCTTACTGCACATGCCAGGATCATTATGCTGCTGAAGCCTCCTCCTAGCAAAATCGACTGCATTTTGGCTCCGGAAAACATCCCAAACCCCATCACATCCTATGATCAGAAATTCATCCTCCTCGGTTAGATCTGCAGTCATAAGCTCAGGCTCTGCACTTAGTGGTCCACCATCTGCACCTTTCATTCCTTCCATGTGCCAATCCCCTAATGCACGAGTCACATTAAGTTGCCCATTAAGGTAACCATCATAAACAGAACCTCCAGATGCCTCAATACGCCTTCTCTCCCTACTGCACATGGGCTTGTGATCTCTTGACATTTCAATTGCTTTGCCACGACGACATAAAACTGCTCGACAATCTCCAGCATTTGCCACAACCAACATTCTGCAATCGGAAAGTAAATCAAGAACAAACTGTCGAGATCATATCATCATTAGTTAACCTGGATGATAAAATTAAACTCTGACAAAAGACTTATACCACGGGAGAAAGGATCAAAAACAAAACAAAAAATAACAAATAAAATAAATTCATATCCACTTTATCTTTAATCTACCTAGATTAATAAGCAATGTCTTGCAACAGAATTTAAAGCGCTCTTTTTCTTATTGTTTAAGCAGAGTCATATGAACACAATAATCTTAGCCAACAAATTCTGAAGCGCACTAAACACTATAGATCATCACAGAAACAATGCACTAGTTTTATTACTTTAAGCTCATCGGTATCTTAATTGTCACTCTAATAAAAAAACAAGTGCAAAAAATATGGAAAAAGTAACTCAGAATACAACATGCAACCTTCAACTGAAACCATGGTTGTTGGCTTCATTTGAATACTAAAATAGTTTACTGCATGACCAAATAGACATCATTTTTATCGCCGGAAAACAGATGAGGGGAAAAGAAGTAAGGAAAATTAGCCAACAAAAGAGAGTTTCTTGTAGTAATTAGTCTGTTCAAGAAAACAAGTCCATGCAATAGATCAGGTCACCAATATGGCTTGGACTGCCATCCATAGTTTTATCAGTTAAGACGCATCAGCAAACCATGTAATTATTTGACAATGCTTACAGAATGAAGGTATGATGGGAAGCTATTGCATTACAAATCAAGCTAAATAAAAGAATAAATCAAACAAAAATACTTTCAATTAGCATAAAATTCTAACCTCCCAAAAACAAGAGCTACCAAAGCAGTGGCACCAGAAGCAAGGTCTGAATCCAATGAACAAGCTTCTGCAAAAGCAGTATCAGTTTGAAGAAATGCTGAAGCAACAACCCGCTCAACCTCTTCAGGAAAGTCTTCATCCTCAACAATGAACCTTGGCAAATGATAGCAAGCAAAATCAGCAGCATGCTTCCCACCATGTCCATCGAACACCTGGCCACCAAATAAGTTGAAAATGGGAACGTTAATCTTCTACCAAATCATAAACATATGCAAGAAATCTATCATCCGTTCCAATCAAAATTGGTCATATCCCTATGGTTTAAATAACTTTATACAATCCTAGGTCATCGCCCGGGTATTTTTCTTTCTTCCGCAGGTAAGGTCATGTAAGGAAGCACCAACCTTCTGAGAAACTAATAGAAAAGTAGCTTTAAATGCTTCGTGAATGAAGTAACAGTTAAGATCTAAAAGAACATCATAGTTCAAAACTACTGATTAGAAAAAGTACTAGAAGAGGAAAACAAAACAAACACACAAGAGGACTAAAGGTATATACCCCATAAAAGGCACGGGGCCCATCAGCGAAATTCTTGAGACCGTAATCATGCATAAAATCATCAACACACAGATATACATCTTCCATGCTTGTTCTAAACCCTATGTCGGCCCATGCTCCAGAACGGACAACAGGGATGAACTCAGCACTATGGTTTTCCACCACATGTCCATTTCCAACAGCAATATCCAATGCTTTTGACTTCGCCTGCTAAAATTAGAACCAAAAAAAATCCAATCTTCATAAAAGAAAACACGTGTAGACATTTCATCAGACGAAAATAAAGTAACAAACTTCTAGAATTCTAAAAACAACTCGCAGCAAATATGATCCCTACAAGGCAATATTATTAAGAAAGAAAGAAAATAAGAAAGAAAATTGCCAAGCACGGAGAAATCTCAAAATTATTAACAATCTACCATTTTTGCTTCCAATGAAAGGCCCTTCCATTTATTTCTATTCAAGAGGGACACCTTGGAGAATCACCTATATGGTCATTCTATGCAATACTACAAGTAAACCAAATTAAATAAACATAAAATCCGGTACTTTAACAGAGTGCACAAACTCCTTCACAGGTAAAATCACCGCCGATTAAAATGTCGCCTACCAGGCTACCAACATAAAAATAAATAGGAGAAAGGAAAACTCACAAGAGAGGGGTGTCGAACGAGGGACTTCTTACAAGGCTTCAAAACGGCATCACTGTTAGGACATTGCAGCCCATACGACGGCGTACGAGGATGCGGTGGCTTACCCTCGCTCGTGCTCGCATTATCTAGACGACCAAATCCGATGTTTCCTCCATCATCACATTCTCCAAATTCAACACAGAATAACTTCAAACAAAATCTTTCAACCTTACTTCGATCCCAAGTCAACTCTGCTCAAATTTCTTAAAACAACCAAGCCAATGCAATAACAAGTAGGTGAATCCCGTCAATGAGTGTTTAGTTCGCCCCCAAATCCCAATTACGAAAAAATAAATAACAATCGATTTCTCGAGATTTAAAGTTTTTCAATTGTAAGGTTTAGAGAAGGGATGAAAACAAAATTATACGATTCTTTTTCCCCCTATGCACACAGACAAAGAGAGAAGCTTTGGGCGAATCGGCCGAGAGCATCAATAGGGGACTCCTTTCCAGCTGGATGGTCGGTTCTTACAGCCAAGCGGTGGGACCTCCTAAACAATGTAGGTTTAGCGATTTTGTGATTCGGATTTGCAAGTATCGATTTTTATATTTCCTCCCTTTTCCATGAGAGGAAATTTTATAACTTTGCCCATTAATAGCAGCCACTAGATTTTACATCATGTTGTTTATATAATTGATTAATTATCTGAATTCATTAAGTAATTTTAATGACTAAAATCATCTATTTCATCTCAATGGTCTAAGCTCAAATAATGATTTTTTTGTAGATAATAGAACAAATATAGAAATTTGAGATGTTTATAAAATAATAACTAATTATTTAATTATAAAACATCTCATGAATTCTAAATATTCCAATTAATTCCAAATACAGCCTGCAATATATTATTACGAAAAATAATTATTTAATTATTTCTCTATCTTTTATGTCGTTTTCCACTTTTGAAATGTTGACAAATATTAGTTTTGTTAATTGTCAATAATTCATTTTTATTTTATTTTTATCTTTTCTTATAATTTGAGTGTTATTTTTGTATTTATTTAATTTTCTTGACATAAAATTGTGGATGATTTTTTGTTCTGTTCTTATAATACACTTTTTTTTGTTTATCTTTGTAATACTTTTTTAGGATTAATTTTAATGACTTTTTTTTAATTATTTATTTATTTATTTTTGATACACAAAAGTTTAGATCAGGGGTGACTCCTCCAATATAAGGTCAGGGTATACCTAAGATCCAATTAGGATTTACATAAGACTTTACAGATTATCCATCAAGAGTGGCGGTAGTAGTATTCGAATTTGACCTTACAAGTTGAAATTCCTAAATCTCAACCACTTGTCTCAACACTCATTGGCTAATGACTTATCTTTATAATTAAAGAGTGTTTATATTTATTATGTTAACAATCTATCTTTATTAATCTCTCAGTAATATATTAATAGATATTTGTAATCGTACAAAATAAATAGAATTAAATTATCACCGTTTGTCAATAAATCATTATTATTTGTATGTCTTATTTAATTGTAACAATATCATTCTTCATAAATCATAATTATTGTATGTATTATTTAATGGTAACAATATCATTCTTCACTGCTAGTAATTATGTTGTATGCATGCATTTATATCCTATCATTTATTTGAGTTGACTTATTAGACTTTTATCGTTGCTTATATTATTCTTTTTATTCTCGATCAATCTGTGTGTTTCAGTAATTTAAAAAATATTTAATTTATAGAATCAATTTATTATTATTATTATTATTTTATAGACTCTTTATATAAATTTAAATATTTTTAATAAAATTATTAATTTAAAATTATTTAATTATGTTTCAATTAATTTCAGATATATTGGTTAGATAACTCTTACATTAAATATATCAGAAAAAAAGATTTTCTTGTTATATCTAAAAAAATCTAACAATATACATATATATATATATATATATATATATTATTGTCCTCCTGGTTCAAAGATTATGCATTAGCTAATCCGGACCGACTCGAGATTAACCATAATTCAAGTTCTATTAATATCATCAATTTTCTTCGAGATTGAGATACTTGCAAATGAAAAATGCAAGAGTTCCAGCTTGATCTGCATGTGTTACCACATGTATGTTGTCAAATTTTTTTAACAATATATATATATATATGGTCTCTAAATTTGCATCGTTCTGTCTACAGTTAATTTTTAATTTAAAATTTAATTTTATATGATATTTTAAACAGTTATTAACTTAACATATTTTACCATAGTTTATTTGGATAAAAATGAATTAATCTTGAAATCAAAGTCTTTTGTTATTGGGCCGATATTACAAGTCTGATTCAACATAAGGTTGACCAGCCCAAGTCATCATTTCCTTCTTCTTCTACTGCTTCGGCTAGTGCAGTCATTATTACGGTTCCAGTGATGCGTGTTCTTTTGTTTCGTTTCTCCGCGTCTCTGTTATTATTCCACCGTGTCAGACACCCGTACCTGGTCATCAGTGCTCTAAATGCTAGGGTTTTCCAGTGATATCTCCGATTAGGATTTGATTTATTTTTGGCTAAACTACTCAAATGACCATCTAATTATGGAGGTGGTTTTGATATAACCATAAATTTTAAATTTTAACAAAATCATCACATAACTATTTAAGTTGTAGCAATCAAGTCACCCTCTATTAGTGACGCGGCAGTTAACAAAATTTTATATAATTTCACATTTATTTCTTAATACTTATATGTTCAATTAATTTGATCTTAATTTTAATTTAATATAATAAATTAATCCTTAATTTAATTTAATAAATTAACCACTAAACCAAATGCTTCATTTGGTTAAATAATTACAACAATTTTTATTTAGCTCATAATATTATTAAAGATAGAAAAAATTAAGATAAAACACCCCAAATGAGGTTTCGAATCTAGGTCAGTTATAAAATATAAGAGCACCTATATTGATTAAACAAATATAATTTTTTATAATTAAATATTGTATATATATATTAAACCATATTTAATGCAAGATTTAAAATTAAGAAAAAGTTTAATATTTTAATATTTTTAAATTAAATCTAATATCTTTTATATTTAAAAAATTAAAGATAAAAAATATTACATTTATTTTAATTTTATTTCTTCCACTAAATACGGTTTAAAATATAAATATCTATTTAATTATAAAATATTATTATATTTTTAACTATTTTAAGTTCTCTTATATTTATTTTTATAATTAAAAAAATTAAAGGTATAAAAATATTAATTTTTTTTATTTTAAAACTTACATTAAACACGGTTTAAAATATATATGATTTATTTAATTATAAAATAATATTATACTTGTTTAACTAATTTAGATTTTCTTATATTTTATAATTGACTTAAGTTTGAAATCTCATTTCAATAATTTTATTTTAATTTTTCTATCTTTAACAATATTATAAACCTAATAGAGTTGGTTATAATTTTTAAAACAAATGAAACATTTGGATAAAGGTTTGGGTGCCCCACATTCAACCTAGAGATCCAAGTTAAATCTTCAACAATGCCATGTTATTTCCAATTAGACCGTGAAAGTACAGTTAAATTGAATGTACAAATATTAAAGATCAAATGTGTAATTATATAAAATTTTGTTAACTACCATATCACTCTTCCGTTACACTTGAATAGTTATATGATCATATTGACAAAACTAAAAAAAATTGTGATCAACACTACCCTGTAGTTAGATGATAATTGGAGTAGTTTACTCTCTTTTTTTATTTATTTCATTGTGTACTTAAGTAGATTGGAATGGAAAACCAAGAGCTTGACTATTTCAGTTCTAATGTTATCTTAAAAATGAACCGTAGATGCATTTTACTAAGTAAGCATAATATTAAATTACGGTTGTAATATAGTGTAACGATTTAAGGTCATCGTAACATCATAAATCACATTCATAATATAAAATCATAATTACATTTAAAAAATTAAACACATAGTAACATTCGTAACTACGATACCACAATCATAACTGTAACCGCAGTTTAATGCTACGTGAACAAGGAATAGACAGAGAAGCTCGGGGACGCTGTCAAGTCTTACTTTATCCTGGCGGGAAACGCCTACTTTTTTCTGGACAGCTGCCTTCACTCGACATTCTCAAGGTTTTCCCTTACTCAAGGCGATTATTACATGCATGCAACTGTGACATAACTTTGGTACGTGAGATTTTTCTTTTATCATTTTCTTAACAAATATGTACTTCTACATTATAATTATGCATTTACCCCTGTATAACTGTTCTCCTTAATTTGAGATGAGATCTTATCAAGAAATGATTTTTCTTTGTTATTTTTTTTACAAGAAGCTAAAGAGCACTGGCAACACTTGATTGTAAGATTGCAGGGAAACACAAAGCAGCAAAGACTTTAATCTCTCAGTTTCCTGTGTTTGCTTTCGGGACAAAACTGGAATCTTTCTCCTCTTTAACAAAGGGCTGGAATTAGATTCCATCTCTGAGAATTGTGCTTTTGTTATTGTTAATATTCTAAAATTAATTTGTTTTTTGGAGAACCATTAGCATCAATCCAACCCCATATGAACTTTGCCATTTGGATTTTACAATTCTAAAGTGGGCCTTTATTTCTCAATCTAGCGCCCTTTTTTTATCATGCAAGTAAAGTTATGTTTTGTAGGAAATATTTTCTATTGATGTGGCGGAAGATGCGATCGTACAAACCATTTTCTATTGATGTGGTAGAAGACACTTTTGTTAGGAAACGCGTTTTATTGATATATGTAAAGTTGATCGGGTTGGATTGAAGTGTAAAAAATAAATAAAAAGGACAAAAATATGAATATATATATAAATTTTATCGAAAACAAACAAAAACACACTATGCATGTCGAAGACACGTAACTACATGAGCAAGGGTCGGGCAGCAACGTTACACGTGTATTAGCCCTATGTCCAATTCCAAGTATGTTTAAAATGCAATATCTAAACACTTGAAAGTTCACATATATAAATAATGGAAGATTTAAGAAGTTTATCGGGGTCTTTAAATATTACATTATTTAAATATTTGAGTTTTTAAATATTTAAATATAACATTCTAAACATATGTTTACAAAATGATTAAACATAAGATTAATACATGTGTGTTGTCGCTTGTTTCTACTCGTGTTATTATATGTTTTCGACGTGTGACACTTGCAATTGTTCTATTTGAACAAAATATATATGTTTTTTTTCATATTTTTATATTAATTTTCATTTGATTTGATTTAATTTAATATGTATTCGTGTTGCCGTAACATAGACAAAATATACGTATTACAGAACATGCTTTTAAAGGAGCA